TGCAGTTAGGTGTAGCCAAACAAACAAACAAACAAACAAAATCAAAAAACCGTGAATGAATGTAATGAGTGTAATGAATGTAATGAGAGGCAGGAGTGTCTCCTCTATGTTATCTGTTCCCCCTTCATATAGCTGGATGCAGATGATGACAAGGCCCGGGGAGATTTCAAGGTCACAAGAATGGAAGAAACCTAAAATGTGAATAATCATGTGTTGAACAAGATGGGGAAATGGGTAAGAATACATATCTAATGTTTGCTGTATTACATATTTTGGATCTGTTTGTTATAGCCATTTTGCCTACCCTAACTGCTTTTCATTCTATGGGCATACCATAATTTCTAAGAGGAAATGTTTCTTATTAAACTGTAGTAGGTTGTTAAAAATGGCCCCCAATGAGTGAATCACATCTCCCTGTGTCCATGTCTCTTTGTAGTATTGACTGCTTTTCCCAACAAGAGCGGGGATCTATTTCCTCATTCCTGGAGCCTAGGCTGCCCTTATGAATTTTTGGCTAGAAGAATGTGATGAAAGTAGCATTTGAGGACTTCTGAGCCCAGATCCTAAGGGGCCTTGCAGCATCTGCTTTTGCTCAGGGTGGACCCCAGCTACTATATAAAGAAGCCCAGATTATCCTATTTGTAGAGAGTCTGTGTGGAGAGATAGGTCCTAGAGAATGAGATACTGTGTGGAGAGAGAAGCCACATGGAGGAGAACTGAGGCCGTACACATATGTGTGAGCCCAGATAAAGCCAGGGGAATAAAGATCCAGGCAACTCAGTTCACCATCAGCCATTTGAGCCATCCCAGGAGGAATGCTGGACTTGTAAGTGAAGCCATCTGGGAGTCTCTCAATCCAGTCACGCCACCCAGCCAACAATACCACGTGGAGGAGAGACAAGCCACCCCGCAGAGCCCTGCCCACATTCCTGCCCCACAGTACTGTAAGCATTCACGTAGTTATTTTAAGGCACTAAGTTATTGATGGTTAGCCACCAACAGATATCTGAAACATGGATACTGTAGGGGACAAAAGGCAGTATCTTTTCCTCACCAATTGCAAGGTTCATGACTGACCCCCACCACCCCATAACAAAAGACAGATTAACAGAGGAAACAAATAAAATTTATATTTTAACAAAGGTTTGCATGACATAGAACCCTTCAGAAATGATGACCTACAGACCTACGGGAAACTATGTATTTTTATGGTAAATCTGATGAAAGAAGTAGATAGTTGTGGAGAAACATGACTGGACAAAGGAGAAGATGACATCATGGTAATAAACAGGAGTTGGGGAACAACTTAGCAAGGCCTGTTTGTTCAGATTCTTCTGTATGTCTTCCTTTATCTCCTCTAGATATAGAACAGAACACCTGTCTTGTGATGTCTTATGGACTACTTTCAGGGGAGGTAGGTCAGATAATTCTTTTATGGCTGGCTCTCATGCAGAAAGGTGTGAGAATATGAAAGAATGACCTTGCTCCTGTGGTTTTCTCAATTTCTAAGGTCCCATACTTTGAACCCCAACAGTATTTATATGTGCTCACACTTTTGTTACTGTAAATGACAGTGATAAACATTCCTGTCCTGAATTTCCTGTCTATCAAGAGACTCTACATTGTTGAACTTGGTTAAGTCTGGAAACTAAGTAAGAACTCATATCTCTCTAGTTTGGAGCTTAAATCAAGTTCCTGGTTCCTGTTATATAGATGAAGTAATATTTTCATAGGGCGCAATCTATTTAATTCCTATAGACAGTGCAATTAATTAGCCTCTACTAAAGTTCCTTGCTAGTCAAAACAATCTGGTTACCATTTTATTCCTAATGTTCATTTTAGTAAATGCATCAAACTGTCTCTTCTAATTAATCATTGCCAATTGGCATTTTTCATTCTGGGATCCCATTGAAATCAAGAAGCCAATTTCAATGAAGGTATCTTCTACCATCACTTTGACCTACAGAACACATCCATTGCAGAACTTTGTGAAGAAACTGATAGCCCCTCATTAATGTATTTCTCAATGCCTTAGTGGAGGGCGTGACCTCGGAGCTCTCTCAGAACACAGAGTCATGCTGGGGTGGATGTGCAGACCACAGATTATGTATCCATTCCAACATTCCAATTTTCCTAAGTCTTTAGATATGTCCTTTTACATTAATCCAGGAAAATTCTGGCATCTTAACCTCATTGAATATAGGTTATGGCTGGATTCAAGTTTCAATCATCTAAGAAAACTGTTAGATACACTTCTAGCTGCAAGACTCTCTAGTAACTGATATCATGACTCATATTGATACATTTGGTCTAGTCCAGTGCTTTATATTCCATCCTCTATAGTCTAATAACCTTAAAATCCAACACTACTTCAGTTTCTGTCACTAATGCAGTATTTTGGAATTATTTTGAAGTCTAAACTACTTCTTTCCATTTCAGTCTTTGTACTTGTCCCCCGAAACAAACTGAGGTCTGACTTCAGTTATAGCTCTAGAGGTGATGAGAAGTGGTTTTGGTGGGTCTTGAGGTTATTATAGGGTCTTCATACAAGTCTCAGACACAGGAAGACAGACTGCTCCAAGATTCTCAGCTTTTCCCAAGTTCAACTAGTTCCAAGGCTCAGAGTCCTTAACTTTCACATATGATATCTGTGAGTCAAATTCAATTTAGGTTATAATTCTGTAACCCACACAACTGTATTTTGGGTCAAGTTCAGCTATGAAACTATAAGAAATAACTGATTATTTTAGGGCCACCATAGTCGCTCCCTAATTCTCTGTGACTTGAGCTGCATTAAATACCTAAGCATGTCACTTTCTGTAGGCTTTCCAGTGCACTCAGAAGCATCATTGCTACTGTAACAGTCATGGAGTCAATGGGCTTCCGAGGGCACTTCCTCACAGCCAGCCTCAGGCGACTAGGTATGATGCTGCAGCACACCAAGGATTTGTGACACCCAATTTCCCCATCACTCCTGTGTTCAAAGCTAAGGACATGGCCAAACCAACCACAGAATTCCATTTAGAGGGGCTGTTTCCTGTGATCACTTTTGGTTCCAAATATAATACCAGTCAGAGTCCATTAGTAAAACAGAATAATATAATGTTATACATTTTACCAGAAAGATTTCTTTTTTTGAGATGGAGTTTTGCTCTCGTTGCCCAGGCTGGAGTGCAATGGTGCAATCTTGGCTCACTGCAACCTCTGCCTTCCGGGTTCAAGGATTCTCCTGCCCCAGTCTCCCAAGTAGCTGAGATTACAAGTATGTGCCACCATGCCTGGCTAATTTTTTGCATTTTTAGTAGAGCTGGGGTTTCACCATGTGGGTCAGCCTGGTCTGGAACTCCTAGCCTCAAGTGATCCACCCACCTAAGCCTCCCAAAGTATTGGGATTACTGTGCCTGGCCACCAGAAAAAATTTAAGGAACATAAGGAATTGGTTAAATGAATGTTTAAGAACTAAGATGCAAAGATGTAACTAAAAGCAGTTACAATCCCTAGAACTGGAGAAACCAGGCAAAGAAATTTGGGATTATCCGAATTTAGGTTTTTTAGAGGAAAGGACTTACAGAATTGGGACCCAGATCTCTGAGGACAGAACACCATCCTGGTGCTGCCAGTACCTTTGAGGGTAGTTCTGGGTGTGTGTCAAAAAGAGTCAGGGACTGGAACCAACCGCCATTACCTGGAGTGAATACAGTGTTGGGCAACACTGCCAGGGACAATGGAGCAGAGAAGTACCTTCTCTCCTGTTCTTGCCTTCAACCTCCCTCTAGTGGCCCACATTGATATATCTACCAGCTAGCAAAGTAGTTTCCAGAGTCCCAGTCCCGGCATCACAGAGCAAACATAGAAACATGGGATTAGAGCTGAAAGACCATAGGTGAATAAGCCAAAAGGCATATGTCTCTAAACATATTGTGCATGCATATATCATGTGCATGCACACACACAAACATCTTGGTACACAGTAATATGGCATTAAAAAAATTTTTTTTTCACCAGGCGAGGTGGCTCATGCCTGTAATCCCAGTACTTTGGGAGGCCGAGGTGGGCTGATCCCCTGAGGTCAGGATTTGGGGGCCAGCCTGTCCAACAAGGCAAAACCCCATCTCTACTAAAAACACAAAAATTAGCCGGGCATGGTGGGTGCCTGTAATTCCAACTACTGGGAAGACTGAGGCAGGAGAATTGCTTGAACCCAGGAAGTGGAGTTTGCAGTGAGTCGAGATAGCGTTACTGCACTCCAGGCTGGGTGACAGAGTGAGACTCCATCTTAAATAAATAAATAAATAAATAAATAATTTTTTTTCTCATTACAACAGCAACACTTCTTTTTTTTCTTAAATATAAAAATAAAACAACTCATAGAAGAAGAAAAAAATCTATCCTTTATAACCTTCATTTAGATCCTTCCAGAACTTTTCCTCAATGTGTGGCTATGTATTTTTTTCAAGGAATGACATATAGTTTTCTGAAATGCTTTAAAAAAATCTTAATATATCATCAATAATTTCTCACATGAATATGTATTTATTTACAACAGTGGGTTTCAAACTGTTCTAGAAGTATTCCAGGCAAGTACCTCATGAATCAGGCACTCAAAATGGTCTTAATGGGAGGGCCCTGCATTCCCCCATACATCCTTAATCACTGCAATCCTGCTTTTATATATTTGTTTTACATATTTGGTTTCTGTATATGATTTTGTGGGGAATAAAAAATTCCACTGTCAAAGTATTAGAAAGTAATCAAATTATTGTGAGGACACCATGTCACTTTCCTTTTTCACGATTACAACAAACGATAACTTTGTAGCTAAACTCTAGTGCAAAGCCCTAACGACACCAAACACCATGCTTTTTACTCTTTGTCTATTTGGTAGAACCTAAAAATTATTTTAATTTGTATTTCATGAATTACTAATGATATGGACAAGGTTTTACATTTAATGGTCATTTGTGTCTTTGACAGCCTTCCTTTGCAGGCTAGAGATTTTCTTTACAGTATGGCCCTAAAACCTTACCTTCTAATGTATATAGCCTGTGTTTATTCCATGTCCCCTGGTTTAAGGAAGCTCAGATTTCAACATCCATTGCTTAGCCAGATCACCATCTCCCTGCCCTCCTCCACTCTTGGTAATGATCTCAAATCTTCCTCCACTGAGAACACAGAAGCTATCTGTCACTCCATCCCAAATAGATCAATATCTATAGCTATTTTTGTTTTTCTTCCTGGCTCAGAGAACAAAAGTTTTTGATGTTTAAGTCAATCCCTTTGCTTCAGCACTTGATTCCATTCCTGCTTGTCTCTCTGGTTCCTAGTATGGTGTCTGGCAAACAACTGATGCTCAGAAACTTTGTTGAATGAGTAATGGGTCTTTCTCCAACAATTCTCTCCTTTTTTTTTTACATCCAGCTTCTTTCATACTTTGAATTCTTCCCTTTGGCCTATATATATATATATGTTTCATCAAGTTGTTTTCCATCTGTGATGCTCAGTTTTACGTGTCGACTTGGCTAGGCTGTACCCAGTTATTCAATCACATATTAACTTAGGTGTTGCTGTGAAGGTATTCTGTAGATGTGATTAATGTCTACAATCAGTTGACTTTATGTAAAGGAAATTATTCTGGATAAGGTGGGTGAGCCTGATCCAATCAGTTGAAAGGCCTAAAGAATAACACTTAGGTTTCCCTGAAGGTGTGAAGAAAGAAGAATTCTACCTGTGGACTTCAGCTTCAGCTACTGCCTGAGAGTTTCCAGCCTTATGAATTTCAGGCTTTCCTATCTGACCCCTACAATGGCAAAAGTCAATTTCTTTCTGTAAATCCTTTTATATATCCTACTGTTTCTGTTTGGCTGGTGGAATCCTGACTGGTACACTATCCTTAAAATCAGAACAAAACAAAATACTCTTCTTGACTCTGTATCTCTCTGTCACCAATAAACTCCATTTTCACTCCTATCTAAGCTACTAAAAATATTGTCCTATATTCACTGTCTCTACTTCATCCCTTTGCAATCACTTTTGAGCTATAGTCCCATTTATACAACTGGTGAATTGCACATTTTCTCATGGACAGCCATGGGCAATCTCAAACTCAGCATATCAAAAGTTATCGTAGCGCCCCTGCCACCTTACCTGAATCTATTCTTCTTCCGAATGTCATATTTTGTCATATTTCAAACTTAAGTGGAAGTCATTTGTATTAATACATTCTCACATTATTATAAAGAACTACCTGAGATTGAATAATTTATAAATAAGTTTGACTCACAGTTCTGCAGACTGGGGAAGCCTCAGGAAACTTACAAACATGGCAGAAGGTGAAGGAGAAGCAGGAACGTCTTACCTGGCCAAAGAAGAAGAAAGAGAGAACAAAGGAAGAGTAACTATACACTTCCAAACAACCAGCTGTCATGAGAACTCACTATTACGAGAATAGCAAGGGGGACTTCTGCCCCCACTATCCAATTGCATCCCACCAGGCCCCTTTTCCAAAATTGGGGGTGATAATTCTGACAGACTGTGTTCTCTATCTGGTTCCAAAAGGGGGCGTAGTTTTAAGGGCAAGAACTTTCCAGTGCCATGCCCACCTCCCATCTCTCTTCATCCGGGAATTTAACTGTTTATGTTTAAATTTCAGGGGCCCGGGAAGAAACTAAGAGTCAATTACCCAAGCAGAAGTTCTAAGGAACTCCTTTCCTTGGCCAGGGGACTTAGAAAAGGTGGGGGTTCCTCCCAGGTTAAAAGTCCCCTTCTTCTACACCCCTTCAGACTCCTCGTCTGGATCCCCTTTGATGAACACTCCCTTTGTGGAAGCCATCTTTCTCTCTCCTAGATTTCCCCTCTGTAGTCCCCTTCTACACTCTCTTGCGGAAGCCTGTCTTCCCCTCCTAAACTCCATCTCTCTCTATTCCCTTCTGCTCATTGTGGAAGCTGCTTTCCTCTCCTGGATTCCATCTTTCTGAATTCTCTCACTCAGTGTGAGAGTTAGCTGTTTCTTTCTCTCTCCTGCTTCTTTTTCTTTCTCTACCTAAATAAAATCACTTTCTGAGCTTTTGAGTCTGGCATTTACTTTTAAGAGCACACTGCATCATGGTCTCCTCACCCATTCTTGGGGAGTGATAGACCAAGAACCTGGAGAACGTCCTCTCAGGGGAACCCTGAATCCCTGAACTCCAATTCGACAAGAGATTTGGGTAGGCACACAGACCCAAACCATATAATCATTTTAGACATGTAAATATGTAAATACAGGTTGAGCATCCTTAATCTGAAAATCCAAAATCTGAAGTGCTCCAAAACGCCAAACTTTTTGAGTACTGACATGATGATACAAGTTACCCTGAACACATTATTTTTCACTGTATTAATGGCATATCATATTTTCTTTTTTACTACTAAGCACATATGTATGAATAAGCAGAAGAAAATGATTGCTTAACAGCAGCATATAAATTCAGAGTCAGGAATGATGTTGACACCAAACAACCACAGGTTGTCCAAGGGGGTGACTGAGATGTACACAAACTTTGTTTCATCTACCAAATTGTTAAAAATATTACATAAAATTTCTTCAGGCCATGTGTTTAAGGTGCATATCAAACATAAATAAATTTCATGTTTATACTTGGGTCCCATACCCAAGATATCTCATGTGTATTTGTGATTATCCCAAAATCTAAAAAAAAATGGGAAATTTGAAACAATTTTGGTCCCAGGCATTTCAGATAAGGGATACTCTCAACCTATGCTAGACATCTAAATAAGTCATACTGTCTATATTCAGTAGAAATGCATGAAGGTTTGGGCCTCTATCATTTCTGGCCTTAGCTTTTGTAATAGAACAGATGGGTCTGTTCCAACCTCTTCCCTCCCAAATCTGTTCTCTAGAGTGCTCTTCTTCTGAGGCGAGGTGACAAAGATTGCCCTGCCGAAGACTCAGCGAGTGACTCCTTTATCACCTGTAGCGAGGTCACGTCATCCTAGACTACCATCACAAAGACCTTTTGAAAACAGCCCTACTCAGAACTAATAAGAATTTCTAAAATGGGACCTGAGAATCTCTATTTATTTATTTATTTATATATTTTTTGAGATGGAGTCTCACTCTTGCAGTCCAGGCTGTAGTGCAGTGGCGCCATCTTGGCTCACTGCAGCCTCCACTTCCCAGGTTCAAGTGATTCTCCTGTCTCAGCCTCTTGAGCAGCTGGGATTACAGGCACCTGCCACCATGCTTGGCTAAGTTTTGTATTTTTAGTAGAGATGGGGTTTTGCCATGCTGGTCAAGCTGGTCTTGAATCCCTGACCTGATGATCTGCCCACGCTGGCCTTCGAAAGTGCTGGGATTTCAGGCATGAGCTACCGCACCCAGCTGAAAATCTCTATTTTTAAAAGCTATCCAGGTAATTTTGATAATCAGCCAGGTTTCTGAACTACTGGTCTTTAGGTAAAAATCCAAATTCTTCCCGTGACCTGACGCCAGTATTCCCAGCTCTATCCCTCAGTACAAATCATGTCCCAGTAGTACTAGCTCAGGACTAGTGATTCTTCAAACCCATGCTGCTTAAAACCTCTCTGTAGTAATCTTCTTCCCTTAACTGCCTGGGGATTTCCTATACATCCTTCAAAAGACTCCATTCAAGCATCATACAACCTCGTATATAGCCAGTAAATATTTATTGAGGCCCTACTACATGCCAGGCTCTGAACTAAGCATTGAGATAGTAGTTCTATCTTTAGTAGGTTCATATGCCATTGGAGAAATAGACATGAAAGTAAACAAAGAAATACAATACAATGAGGTAAGTTCTATGAGAAAGGCTGTAGTGGGCTGAATAACAATTCCCCCACCTCCCACCCAAAGATGTTCACATCCTAATTTCCATAATCTGTAAATATGTCACCTTGCACTGAGAAGGACTTTTGTAGATACATAACCAGGGCGCTTGAGACTTCAGCGCTCCAGCATTTTTTTGTGTGTGACTGAAATAAAGAAAATTTTGATCAGGCCCTTGCTTGCTTGCACATGTTAACCACTCACTTTTTGCCCGGTATTCCTTGTTCCCATAACGTAATTATAAACTGCCGATGTACTGTTTCTTTGTCAAGCAGGAGGAGATAACTTCAGGGTCATAAGAATAGTTTGGAGAAGGAAGGAATTCCTTGAAGGACACTGCAACCAGCTTCCATGTACATATGTCTGCACAACGTGTTATCTGAAACTGAAGAAACACAGACTTTTCCCCTGGATTCCTTGAAACTCCCTCTCCCTTACTCTCTAGCTGCATAAAAACTCCCTGCTTCTTTTCTGTTACTGTGGATTTGAGAGCTCTTGCTCCCTTGCCTTCTCACTTTGGCCAAATCGAATAAATATTTCCCTATAGCCAAGCACCAGTATCTCAATATTTGGCCTCAGCTGCCTGTCGGGTACATGCGCCTGAATTTGGAGTTCTAAAACAGATGTGATTAAGTTAAAGATTCTGAGATGGAGTGACTGTCCTGATTATCCTGATGAGTTCAATGTAATCACAAGGGTGTTTTTAAGAGGGAGGCAGGCAGGAGGGTGAGAGAGAGCTAAAGAGGAGACTGAAAGGTATCATGCTGACTATGAAGGTGGAGAATAGTGAAACGAGCCAAGGAATGAAGGCAGCCTCTAGAAGCTGGAAAAGGAATGGAAATGAATTATTCCTTAGAGACTCCAGAAGGAACCAGCCCTGCCAACTTCAGTCCAATGAAGCTGATTTTGGGTTTCTGACCTCCAGAAATGTAAAATAGCTTCTACTTATTTCAAGCCATTAAGTTTGTGGTAATTTGTTTTTTGTTTGTTTGTTTGTTTGTTTGTTTTTGGGACGGAGTTTCGCTCTTGTTACCCAGGCTGGAGTGCAATGGCGCGATCTCGGCTCACCGCAACCTCCGCCTCCTGGGTTCAGGCAATTCTCCTGCCTCAGCCTCCTGAGTAGCTGGGATTACAGGCACGTGCCACCATGCCCAGTTAATTTTTTTGTATTTTTAGTAGAGACGGGGTTTCACCGTGTTGACCAGGATGGTCTCGATCTCTTGACCTCGTGATCCACCCGCCTCGGCCTCCCAAAGGGCTGGGATTACAGGCTTGAGCCACCACGTCCAGCCAAGTTTGTGGTAATTTGTTACAGCAGCAATAGAAAACTAATACATAGGCCAACACAGGGCACTGCGGTAATACATTAAAGAAGCCTCTATGTCAAGTCATGGAGAGAGTGAGGATGGGGTGTTCAGGAAGAATTACTCAAAATATGACCCCAGAGCTGAAGAAAGGAGACTGTGTTTTGGAGGATGGCCCAGGTAGAGTAAGTAGTATGTGTAAAAGTGCACAGAAGGAGCCTGGAAAGTGTTCCAATAAAGTAAGACTGTTTGCATTAAATAGTAGTAAAAACAAAAACAATATCAATTATGGTAAATGTTTATTGTTTGTGTGCCAGGAGTGCCTTGGCATTTTACAAGTCTGTGAGATTGATACTATTATTATCATCTTCAAGGGGGGATGAAGGGATACTAAAGTCTGGGGGAGGAGGTAAGTAACTTTCCTGAGATCAACAAGCTAGTAAGCAGCAAAGCTAGAACTGGATGGAACCTTGGCAGTCTGTTTCCAAAACTCACTCTAATGTTTTTCTGATACGTTACTGTGGGAGTCTTAAGCACTTAAATAAAGGGACATTAATACGGCTGAGGATAAGTGAATTATTAGAAAGATATTATAGAGGTAAGGATCAGTAGAGCTTGGAATATGATCTTGTCTTGGAGACTGACAAAAGTGGGAATGACAGATAGATGACTTCCAATTTTCTCTTATGTGATGTAGGTTTTTCTGTGGTTCAGGACATAAAGGAGCCTTCCTTTACTACTCAAAGCAAACCACTCCTTCTTCGTTACAAATTCCACACCTTGCATAAACCTCTTTATTTCATTTCTTCCTTTTCCCCCTAATGTCTGAGGTAGAATTGGGGGTGAAAGCACCAACTCAATTCTGGGCCTCATTTTCCATATTTGTAAAATGCTTAGAAGTACCTAATAGTTCCAAACTTGGTTGTACTTCCGAATGCCCTGTGCGAAGTTTAAACAAAATGCATTTCCTGTCCCCATTCGCAGAGAGTCTGATCGATTAGTATCAGGATGGGGCTTTTGTTCCCCCAAAACACACCCCCGTGATTCTACGCGGCCATATGTTGGTAACCAATGCACAGATGACTGTCTAGGCCCTTCCCAGTCCCACCATTCAGTGCCCTCCAGCGCCCCCACGCGTTTACTCGGTGAAGGCCGCCCCCAGCCCAGCTCCCGGCCCCGCCCGAGTCCCACCCCCTGCTCGCTTCCCGCCCGGACCCATCGCCCCTCCTCCGATCGTTCTGCGTGCTCTCGCGTAGCTCCGCCTTTTCTAAGTCTGCCGCCTCGCAAGATGGCTGACGTGCTGCTGGGCTCCGAGCCGTGGAACCGCGTGAGGATTCCTAAGGCGGGGAGCCTCAGCGCAGTGATGGTGCAGAACCCCAGCGCCACCCTTCGTGAGTGAGGCGCCGGGCGAGGACTGGGGATGTTTTCGGAGGAGGCCGCCCGGCCGGGCCGGCGCACTTGGGGTGGGGGGCGGGGGCGGGTCCGGAACTTCCCGGGCCCCGGAGACGCTGAGAAGGGGCGCGGGGGGAAACACACAGGGGTCGTGCGGTCCCTGCACTTTGCTGGAGGAGCTCGTAGGGCCTCTGGCTTTACAATCCTTCATGCAACCCGCTGTGCTAATGCAGGGCTTGGCTGGAGAGGTGAAGAACCAAGGTTCAGCCGTGAGCGGAGGGGGCGGAGAGACGTGGACTTATTAGTGCCGGGGAACAGTGCTGCCTGGGAACCCTTGCTCGCCCGGGCTTCGGGGAGCCTTGTTTACCCTTCCGTCCATTTCCCCTTTCTGTCCTTTTCCTGCCTCCTGCCCCCTGCCCCCGGGGAGCGGTGGACGTCACCTAAGCACCGGGACACTATCTGCTTATCTGTAAAATGGAGCTAGTCGTCCTACCCCTCACTGGAGCGTTGGCGATACCTAATGATGTAATTCAGGAGCGAGTGCTCTGTAAACGACAGTGTTTTACCACCTAAGTGGAAGGTACTGTTAGGGTGTAGAGCACATAGTAGGTAGGAGCCTGGCGCCAGATGCTTTGGATTTGAATACTAGCTCTACCCTTTGCTGGAGTTTGAGGGAATTATTGAACCTTTCTGTGCCTCATTAATCTCGCTTTCAAATGGAGATAAAAATACCTTCCTCATAGGGCTGTTTTGGGGGATGAAAGAGTTGATATTATGAAGAAAACATTTGGAACACTGCCTGGCATGGTAAATGGGCACTCAAATGGTAGCTGTTATGAATGTTAACTACTTAGACCCGGGGCCCAAGGGAGAGAATAGTCATGGGTTCTTAGTTTGTTTCTGGTTGGGCCAGTAAAGCCCCTTCCTCATTCCTCTTTTCGCTAGAGACAAACTAAAAACCATGGCTTCAGGCTGCAAAAAAGCCCAAAACTAAACAGAACAACAAACAGCAAAGTAAGGCGGGTTGGACACGCTTGACTTAGATCATCACATCCTCTTTCCCATCTATCCATCCTACATACTTTACACATTATCCCATCTGTCCTCCTACACACTTTACAGATTAATCTTCCCTTTTTCTCTATTCTTTAACAATTCCTATCAGGCATGGGAAATCACCAACTCACTACCCATCCCTGAGGCAGCCCATTCTGTCTTCAGATAGTTGTTGGGACAGGAAGAAAATTGTTGCTACCTTCTTAAAGTTAGCAACCAGCCTTTACTTCCCCCTAGAATGCTAGTGCTACCCTTAGAGCCATAAATAGCACGTGAACTACGTCTTCGACTTTATGGACTGCTACAGATTTTCAGACTAGGTAGCATCTGCTGATAAGCACCTGCTGTTCAGTCAGTCGTTCATCAAATAAGATTTCCAGTTATTATGATGCTTTTTCTTTCCGAATATGTTTGTGTCTCCCTTACAGTGATACACAGAACCCTTGATTTTGAAGACTGATTTTATCCATTCTATCTTGCTTTCGGGCATAGCAAGCAACATGGGGAGTTAGAGAAGTATTACCCATGTTGTGACTTGTGCCCCACCTTCAAGGTGGGGGTGTAAGTGTACACCAAATGACTGACAGCACAGTATTCATATGAAAGATTATTAAACTATGATAAAATGCAATGTGAAGATAGAGATTCTTATTTACCAGATGTTATCTTAATGATTTCCTGGATTTTATATCATCTGTTACCATTTTCCAGCTTTTCTTACGCTTAGAATCCTTATGTTCTTACAGTTGAGACTGATTACATTAGTTTTTGATTCCTTTAAAACAAATAAGGAAAGATGTGTCTTTCAGTGTGTTTTTAATATAATATACTTAATGTAGAAATACATACTAAATCTTATTAAATGTCTCTGCTTCAGACCTTTGGATTGCAGGTGTAATTAAAGAATGCCATCTCGTCACAGTATCGCTGAAGAGCCGAGCCTTAGATGCAGAAACAGATGTGTTATGTGCAGTCCTTTACAGCAATCACAACAGAATGGGCCGCCACAAATCCCATTTGGCCCTGAAACAGGTGAGGAAGCCCTGTAGTTGAGACCCAACCTGTTCACTTGAAAATGTAGATCACACTGCCACTTACTATTTTGCTATTTATGGGACTCTCAGTAATTATTTGTGATATATAGGTCTATAGCCCACAGTTACATGGGACTTTCTTTTTATTTTTATTTTTTTCCCCTGAAAGCATTTCAAAAAGTAATTTTTTAGAAAAGAAGTATGTTTAGATTAATTCTTTCCCAGTCTTGTTTCTAATGGGTAACTAAGCGTTGTCTTCATTATATACTATCTTTAACAACAGTGCCTTTGCCCAGCTCAAAGATAAAGGATTTGAGCAATACAAAGTGTTGGACATTAAGAAGCAGTTCCCTGAGCATAATCAAAATGCTAAAATTATAAAAAGAACAAATCTGTTTACTTATATGGGGTACGTAATCTAATTGGTGGTATGTTAGAGCAAATGGGTATATAGCAAGTTGTGGTATAAACTGGTTTCATGTAACGTCTGGAATTTAAGACAAAATTGGGCCCTCTAGCTCAGGGGTTACACCATAGAGTAGAGCTTCTTAAGCTGGCTTCCTTATATGCTCATTCATTCATTCACTTAATTCTGCAAGTACTTTCTAGAAGGTCAGAGAGCAGTCCATTGTGTGACAGGGCCACCTTGCAAGTGTTTTTGAACTTTCTGTGTACCAGGCACTCTGTGTAGTGCTGTGTATACAGGAATGAAAAAGATGTAGTCTCTAATCTTATAGATGTGTGCTTTCTCGTTAGTTTTCTACCCCGAGTACTTAAAGTAAAAAGGATGAAGATTTTATCAAAGAAAGATATGGGATCATGGTCTTTCCCTAAATTTTCTATTCTATGTTGGCTTTTATTTTTTTTTGGAGTCTTTTTAATCCAAAAGCAAGCTTGCTGACCCTCAAAAATGAATGTATTTCTGTTTCTAGTTGTAACTAATCACCCAGTCATAAAAATTAGGTGTTCTCTAGTCTAGTCTCTTTTATGTAGCTCTCCCATCCAGGCAGTCCATAAGGCAAAACTTCCTCTGCATTTGGTCACCTCTTCAGTTCTGGCTGCCATTTTCCTTTCTTAGACCTTGTCAACTTCTGGTTGTCTTACTGTCATAACTGGTGCGTCCTCCTTCACTTTTTCCTAAGCTCTGGCATATTCTAAATATGAAAACCAGGTTAATCATCTGAAAACACAACTTTGATTTTTAGTGGTTCTCCATTGTGTCCTGAGTAAAGACCAGACTTTTTAGCTTGGCTTACGAGATCTGTGATCTGGCCTCTTCAGTCTTATTAGCTCAGGCTTCTCTCTCATGTTCAGATGTGTTTATTCCAGCTAACCTGAACTCTTAATGCACCTACATGCTCACTGTTTGTTCCTCCTTCTGAGTCTGCTCACCTGGTCCTGTATGTTTAGAATGCCCAGCCTCTCCATGTCTGCCTGTTAAAGGCCTTCCTATTAAGTTCCATTTTAAGCCTTCCTGGCAGTGATAGTCTATGTTATAGTAATCTCATTTTAAGTTGTATTTTTCTGATTATTACTGAAGTTGAATTTTTTTTTTTTTTTTTTTTTAAATTCTTGGCTATTTGGACCTCCTCTTTGTACTTAACAGCATTTAATACAGTCTGTGTTGTGGTGAAGTTATTTGTGTATATATTTTATATTCTACGTGATCCCTTAGGTGGGAAACATGTTTTATGCTTATGTTGCTGCTGCAGCTGCTATTACCACTTCTACTACTATCTTATAACTGCTTAACATTTCACAGTTCACAGAGAACTTTCATGTAAGTAAACATTCCCCTAAATGAAACACAGAAAACAGTCTTGATTCCTGTTCTGTGGAGTATATGTAGGGCATGCTGGGAGATAAAATGGTATTAGAAACTTCCCTATCTCTAGTTGCTAAAAATCTAGTAGTAAAAATAGGAAGACATGTAAATTATTAACTAAATGCTAAGATAAAGAACAGACCCTATTTAAAATTGCAATTCCCTCAGCACTCCTTCTTTGCTTTATTTTTCTCCATAACACTTAACACCACCTACCATTGATTGACTGCCTTTTTCTCCCAGCTCTAATGTAAGCTCCGCAAGGGCAATATAGTTTGTCCCTTTTGTTTGCCACTGTGATCCAGTTCTTAGAACAGTGTTCAGTAGGCGCTCAATAACATTTAAATTTTTTTTGAAAAAAAAGGTAAGCGCCATGCATTGTACAAAATGCTGTAGGAATTCTGTAGTCCTCAGGAATACCACACAAAGGGCAGCGTGAGACTGCATCTAGACAGATACAAAAATTTGGGTGGGCAATGGCAACTAGAGTATCTTGCTAGAGCTGCAAATATACTTCTAGAAATTGAACCAAGGTTATGGATTCTGTTTTAACAGCGGTTTTCAGAACAATGGAGGGAACAGTCCTTAAATTCTTTAGGTCAGCTCCTATCTTCAGTTTTCAAGTCTGGACACTATCCTTTGAGGGAGGTAGTGACAAAGCAAGAAGGTAAAGCACTTGGAAAATACAGTAAGTGAACTATGGTTCAAAAGGAAACAAAAGGGAAAAACTCAAGAGAGAAGGGAGGAAGAGGGAAGATGCAGAGGAACATGAGAACAAGCTTCGTATACTCAAGGAATATATTTGTTCAGTGTTTAAAGCCAATCATTTTCCTCATCTCTGTGGTACTTTATAGACTGTTGAAATTTAGTAGTTAATAATTTGCTATCTTGTTTGAGTAGTTTCACTATTAAAAATCTCATGGCCTCTGCAAAATTATAATCTTGAGAATAATCTATACTCATTTTGGTCCTTTATATAACATCAAGCTCATTGTGGCATATGCTAATTTCTTAGGACTCACCTGATTTTAAAAATGTGTTTGGCTGGATAAATTCCAAATTTGTAACCAGAAGCAATTGCCTGCACTTCGGATTTCTCTAACCTGAGAAAAAATAAGGTAGTCTATGGTATTTAGCATATTTCCATACTTTGAAAATCTAGAACTCATCTCTTTCATGGTCATAATCAGTGGCCACGTCTGCGTTACATACACATGAATTTGAGCTGCTCTTCTTCTTTCAGGTTGAACAATGTTTAAAACGTTTGAAAAACATGAATTTGGCAGGTTCAATTCAAGACCTGTTTGAGTTGTTTTTTCCCAGGTAAGTGGTCCAGTTGCTTTGTGATGTGGTGGGCTGGAAACTCGATGTCTTGTGATCTCCCTTTGATTTCTCTGTGCTTGGTGTTGGAATATAATCGTTATACTTCAGCTGTGTAAATTTTAACATGAGGCACCTGGTGTTTGTGGTAATCTTCTGACATTGGTGTATGGGGAGTGACGAGTGTGAACTCTGGGTCATGGTAGATTGTATTAAAACATCAGTGGGCTGTTACTGCATATAACTACTTAAAATTGACCTTAAAGCAAGTCTTCACTTGAAAACTGCTATAGAAATGTTTTATATTTAAAAAAGTAATGGGAGCTTGCAGAGAGCTGAACATGTATGTGAAGGGTCGCCCAGTGAAGGCATGGAAGCTCTATGCCCCTTCTGCCATACCTTTCCCTATACATCTCTTTATTTGAATCTTTTGTCATATCCTTTATAATAAAGTGGTAAATGTAAAATAAACCTTTTTTTTTTTTTTTTTGTTTTATAAAAAAAATAATGTACTTTTTCTATTTTTTTTTTTTCTGTCAAGTAAAAATCAGCCTGTAAATACCAGTGTCGTCCCCGGTCAGCCAGTGGTGGAGTTGGTGTTGATGAAGGTTTTGGGAGCCTGCAAGTTGTTGCTTCGCTTATTGGACTGCTGCTGCAAAACATTTCTGTATCCTTGAATCTCTTAAAATATACCTTCTTTTGAATTGAAATTGTTTGGATATATTTAACAGTAGTTTTGTTTGAAAGCTAACACTTGATAGGAGTTATAACCTGTAGGAATTTTTAAGCTTTTGCTTCTTGGCCTCCTTTTCTCAGGAATTGCCTGATGTGGCCATTGCCAGAGACTGCCTGACACTGTATTATCTAAAAGCACTGATAGCTAGAAATTCTTAATCTTAGAAACTAAACTTTAAGAAGTAAATTTAATAATAGGAGCACTAGCAGAGTGTTTATTACTGTATTTTAAAGTTTAAAATTCTTAAATAGAACATGCTTTAAGGCTTTAATACCTTTAAGAAAATTCTTTTCCAATATATTTCTTCATTCATGATTGTAACTTACAAAACCCAAATTAACTTTGGTTTTGTTTTCCCACCTTAAATTGATTTTCCAGCTGGACTGTGAAACATCTAGGTTTGCAAGAGTTCATTATTTTAAACCTTGTGATAGTGGGGCTGGTGAGCAGGTTATGGTATGTACATACCTCTGAAATCCTTCATTTCTTTCTCATTTCCTTTCAGCCTAGTATTTTATTAGTAGTATCCAAACTTACTTTCCTATGGGGTTACGGAAGGTGCAGGCATTCTCTTTCTTGATTTGATCAGAGTTTTTTGGGGGTAGATGGGAAGCTGAGTGCTAATGATTATGTCAAAGGAGTAAGCTTGGTATCTCAATCTACAAGATCAGCCCAACACTGGGCAACTAAAAAAATTGGGAGTGACTGGTGTGACATTGAAATCTGGGTCATGGTAGGTTGTAGTGAAACATCAGTGGACTTGTATTGAGCATTAAAAAAAATTAATGTCTGGGACTGGGAATTGCAGTAATAAATAATTGTCGGCAGTAGTCATACTACAACAGGCCATTTAAAATGATGCTATTCCTGGGCTGGCTATATCACTTGATTCCTTCTGTCACTTGGTTTCTAATTTTTAATGGCAATGATAAATGCATTATTTGACCTTCTTATGTGCTACCTGAAACACCACTGCTTTTCTAAGCATATTTAGTTAATGTACGCTGGTAATATTTGCACACTAAAGAGATGTTCTTTTGCATGTCTCTCAGAACATATTGTGAAACTGATCTGATGGATAATTAGAATTTGTCTGTTTTGGGCCATTTCAAGCAATTAAGATTATTAGCTCTAATATGAACGTAAGAAAACACTGGGAGGGGAAAAAAAGTTTTTCTGTGTTTAGAGATTGAAAACCTTGTTTTGATGTCTTAACCTGGATATCTCAAGTACTATTTCCTATCGTTTTGTTTTTTATCCTTATTCTTAATCAGAGATAACAGTGTTTGATTACAAATCATATTATTTTAAAATGCTAAACCTTCGAAACTTTTCTGTAATGAAACTAGCTTTAATTTTTGCTGATTACAATAATACAACGCCTATTTTAAGAAATTAAAGAAAAATGTAAAGAACCTGAAGTTTGCCTAAAATCTCACCATCTAGATAAAACCACACTTAAGACTTTGATATGCGTCCTTTGTATATTTCTCCATGTAGTACTTTGTTTTTGAATATATTTTTCCTGGTGGACTGTCCTATGGTTTTTTGAGTAACTTTTTTTTTGTTTTTGAGGTGGAGTCTTGCTCTGTCACCAGGCTGGAGTGCAGTGGCGAGATCTTGGCCCACTGCAACCTCCACCTCCTGGGTTCAGGATGATTCTCCGGCCTCAGCCTCCCCAGTAGCTGGGACTACAGGTGTGCACCACCACGCCTGGCTAATTTTTTTTTTTTTTTTTTTTTTTGTATTTTAGTAGAGACTGAGTTTCATCATGTTGGCCAGGATGGTCTTGATTTCCTGACCTCATAATCTGCCCACCTTGGCCTCCCATAGTGCTAGGATTACAGATGTGAGCCACTGCGCCAGGCCTTGAGTAACATTTTATACTTGGGATTTTTCTGTTGGGTTGGACTAATGTGGCTGTTTGCAAGTGTGCACTATAGTGTTTTTTATACATACTGGAAGACCTTGATAGCCATTTATTTTCAGCTTTTAATCTTGCAAGTTTTTTATGTACTCTGCAAATTGTAATTACTGGCTAATTAGCTTCTGTTTCTTTCTCTAGGGTTCTCTATAAAGGTGTTTTTAAAAGGTTGATTTTGTTCTACGAGACTTTGTTTGGATTGCTTCAAGAAGTCTCTAGGATTCAACCAATGCCTTACTTCAAAGATTTTACCTTTCCTTCTGATATCACTGAATTTTTAGGACAGCCATTTTTTGAAGTCTTTAAGAAAGAAATACCTACAGCTTTTGCAGCTAGAGGAATAACTAAATGGCTAAATAAGCTGTTTTTAATAAGCGAGCAGTCACCAAAGGCCATTGAAGAAACCTTACTTGGAATTTCCAAAAATGATGAACAAATGAAGATAAATACACAGAATAATGAGGATCTTGGACAGCCAGTAAAGAAGAAGAAAGTTTTCAAAGGTAATTTGCTTTGATACAGCACATACTCTAGTAAAACAAAAAGCAAATAAAAAGAAACCTGTTAAAAGTATAGTCCTGCACTGCATGGAAAGAAATTCAACATCTCACATCTTAATTTTGACCCACATTGATTATCTTTAGAGAGGTATTGTAATACCTATGCCTTCTAAGCTTGAGTACTTAAAGTTGTTTTTTTTATTTCTGTAGTAGCTTCCTAGTTTTTTTGTTTGCTTTATTTCTTATGTAGTAATTTAGCAAGAAATGTCATGCACTTAATAATCTGTTGTAGATTTGAAAATAGTGTTCCTAAATTTTTTTATCTACAATTTTTCCACCTCCACAGAAAAGTCATCAGAATTTGATGTGAGGGCTTTCTGCAACCAGCTGAAACACAAAGCTACACAGGTTTGTCTGGCTTCATTAAATTTAGCTTATGATTTCTGCTAATTTGTAGAGGATGCTTCTTACCAAGGGAGAGCTTGAATTTTCTCATTTTATCCGCAGCTCTAAGCTTAATGCCTTCTTATTGTCAGTGTTCGCTTCTGAATGAATTAGGGGTAGGGGATGTTTAATACATCCAGTTAATTCAGTTACTAGAGTACCTTTAAAAATGTTTTAGTAGGAGTTTCTCTAGAATTTTAAAGTAACTGCAAGATCTATCATTAAGTATGGATTGTGCTGCAGGTTAAGAGTATAGGCTTTGCAGTCAGACAGATGGTTTGAATCCTGGCTTTGGTACTAGCTGTGTGACCTGTAAGTTTCCTGATCTCTTCGAATCTCTATTTTGTAACAGTAATATGCGCCTCCTAGGGTTGTGCCAGTTTAATGTAGGTAAAGTCTTCAGGAGTCTGGAGTATGCTAAGCATTTAATTGGAGTTAGATGTTATTAGCTACTGTCATCATTTTGGTCATCATCCTCATCATTTGTCATGAAGCTATTCCTTTGCTCTTGTTGAGGTTCAAGTTTTAACATGATCTATTAATGTCTGTAAATTGTTTGTTCTGAACCTAATAGCATATAAGTATATCAGCATTAGTGTTTTACTCAGTAACTTGACTTTTTTTTTTTTAACCCCGTCTTTGCAAAATGTCTTTACTTCTGATATTCTTCATGGGTTAGTTTACTTCAAGAATTCTTAAGCATACTTTCTTGAACTTTAAGGACTCCATCTTCCATTGATGTCCTGTCCAATTCATGAATTCAGAGTGAGGAATAATACTTTCTGTGCCAGGCATTGTTCTAAGTACTTTATATGCATGAAGTCATATAATTATTAATAGCACAAAAGCTCTGTAAGGTGGGCACACTTATTACTGTTTTCATATTTCAAATGAGGAAATTGAGGCATAGAAAGGCCAAGAAAGTTGGCCAGGCCACATAGTGAATAAATGGCAGAGCTGCGATTTGAATAAAGGCAGTATGGTTTCGTAGTCTCTTCGTTACCATTCACCAGTCCCCAGAATAGTTTTTCAACTGTGTCTAAGGAACTATGGTGCTTTGTGAGCCTTGAAACTTCTGCAGCCCGTGCACCTTTTTGTAGGTGAGCTGGTTTTGAAGCTGGTGGGTCAACATCCGTCTTATTCAAGACTAATTGCTACTATATTTTTCACAAATAGCACTAACATGCTTAGCTTGCTTTTAAAGCAAACTACTTCTATAAACTATTGACATGGATTGTTACTTTTATATTTTCTACTTCTTTTTAGTGTAAGAAATTTGGAAGAAGGTAAGCAGAAAGATAGAGCACATCGTGTTGTAGGTAGATATTTTCATAAAGAAGCAATAAACGTGGCCAAGTGTGGTGGCTCACGCCTATAATCCCAGCACTTTAGGAAGCTGAGGCGGGTGGATCACGAGGTCAAGAGATCGAGACCATCCTGGTCAACATGGTGAAGCCCCGTCTCTACTAAAAATACAAAAATTAGCTGGGTGTGGTGGCGCACACATGTAGTCCCAGCTACTTGGGAGGCTGAGGCAGGAGAATTGCTTGAACCCAGGAGGTGGAGGTTGCAGTGAGCCGAGATGGTGCCATTGCACTCCAGCCTGGGTAATAAGAGCGAAACTCCGTCTCAAAAAAAAAAAAAAAAAAGAAACAATAAATGTTAGTAAAATCCAAATGTGACTTGATATAGAAAGAAGGGGTTGAAGAAGCAAAGATGCCTTGTCAAGATGGTTGAAGTAGAACTGGAAGTGTTGCTCAGTTGAGCATTTTTAACAGATGTTCAGTGCTCATTAGCTGATTAATGGGCCTACTCTCCTGGGCGCTTTGCAAGGCCCCATGTCTTTCCTTTTTTCAGAAACATTTCTAACAATGAAGATGTTTGCTCAGGACATGGAAATAAGTGAAAAACAAGTTGTGATAGTCTAGTGATGTAGAGGAGAAGGGCTTTTCAGTGACCACCCCCCCAAACCCCCTGCAGTTAGGCTTTTGCCAGCATTGAATCATGGGGTTTTATTGTTGTGTGTGTGTGAGATATAATATGTGTTAGAATATTTACATTAACGTTCCTGTCTCCATCTAATTCAGCTGCAGATGGAACCGTTCTGTCCTGGTACAGGGGGGAACAAAACAACTTGTATGTGGAGCAGTGGAGAAAAATTCAGGTTTTAAAGACATGAGGAAAGCTTAGTGAACAAAAATTTCCTTAAAGATTGATAATTCATTTTTTAAAATTTTTGTGGCCACCTAGCAGGTATATGTATTTATGGGGTGCATAAGATATTTTGTTACAGGCATATAGTGCATAATAATCACAGGGCGATTGGAGTATCCATCACTTCAAGCACTTAAGGACTGACCATTCTAATTTTTAAATTTTGATTGTGAGCTAGCTTTCCCAGTTGTCATATAATTACAAATCAGTAGCACGTCATATTTTTCTCATCTTTTCACATTTCAGACCAGCTTTGATTTTAAACTAAAGACAACCAAGCATTCTTCTCAGAAAGTGATAGCAACTCCTCAAGCCAGACGTTTTGTGCAAAGATTCCGAGAGGCTGAGTCTTTTACACAACTTTCTGAAGAAATCCAAATGGCAGTTGTATGGTGCAGGAGCAGAAAACTCAAGGCTCAGGCCATTTTTCTGTGTAACAAACTTCTTAAAAGCAACCGGCTTAAACATCTGGAAGCTCAAGGTACTAGGTAGGTGTATTACAAAATTTATGTTTCTTTACTTTTTCTGTTGTTATGAGTAAAAGCATATATTCAGGTCACTTTTCTTTAAATGTGATGTCCAGCAGCCACAGCGGGGCTAAATTGGGATGTACTCAAACTGCAATTGCATTTGCTGCTTTTGTTTTAAGAGCAAAGCTATATATATCATTGGAGGAAGAAGATAAACAGGTTAATTGGACTTCAGTCATTTATGGTCTTCGCTCATTCAAGAAGCATTAAGAATATCTGGTGTGCTGAGCCTGAGGATACACTGCATAAAGACAGGAGTTGGTCTTCAGGGAGCTCAGGGTCTTGTGGGCAAAGGCAGCTTTTCTGCAGACAGCTTCAGTGCAGTGGGATCATGGTATGAGAGCAGAAGCAGAAGGTGCCTACCTCCTGTGAGGCCCATACCAGACTTCTGGGGTCATGGTCAGATTTGCTGTTTATAGTGGCTGGACACTCTATATATTGATTTCTTTTCTGTGATTTTTATATTCAGAACTGTTTAAGGTGCTTATCTTTGCTTGTGAACCAGTATTGCATCAAGCATTACATGAAGTTTGACATTAGACACTTCAGGGCTTAATGTTAACGATTTCAGACACAAATAGGTATTCTAAGAGCCTACTCCACCTTCACAGAGGCAATTATTCTGACCTGTTAATGTTTTCTTTAAGAAATATCCTGTGCATACCCCATAGTTTCTTATCCATAGTTAGCTATGGATATTAGCTAACAGGTATTCAGGGCTTCAAAATTCATTCTTGGGGATGAACCAACTATTGAAAATGTGTTAATTTTTTTTTTTTTTATTTACAGAAAAGATAGTCCTGTTTTAGAAAAAAAAAATTAGTATACAGTGAGGGTTTTGTAACACATTTTGATTAGAAGCTATGGGAAAAGTGGTTGAATATTCCTAAGGGATAAAGTGCTTGAGGGGTTTTTACATTGAGGTGGGCCCCCTAAAGCTCTGCAATAACCTAAAAGTGATCTATTTTATGGCTGAAAACGCAGTCTGAGCTGTAGAGAAGCATTCTGTTTAAAATTGGGTTTAAAGGCTGAGCGTGGTGGCTCACACCTGTAATTCCAGCACTTTGGGAGGCTGAGGCGAGTGGATCACAAGATCAGAAGTTCAAGACCAGTCTGATCAACATGGTGAAACCCGTCTCTACTGAAAATACAAAAATTAGCCAGGTGTGGTGGTGCATGCCTGTAATCCCAGCTACTCAGGAGGCTGAGACAGGAGAATTGCTTGAACCCGGGAGGCAGAGGTTGTAGTGAGCTGAGATTGTGCCACTGCATTTCAGCTTGGGTGACAGAGTGAGACTCTACCTCAAAAAAAAACAAAACAAAAAATGGGTTTAATATCAAGGGTAGATAGATGAGGCAGAGGTAACAACTAAAAGTTAACGAGAAGGGTAGCAAACTGGTGTTTATTGGTTAAACCATTATTCAGTACTCCCCCAGATACAGTGTTCCTTCATATGGCCCTGTTTTGCTGTTTCATTCAAATATTTATAGTAAACTTTCTAATTTATTGAATGTCCATAACATTGTGGGGTACACAGTATGTTTCCCATTTCATAGATGGGTAAACGGAGGATTTTGTTCAAGGGGTTAGATGTGGAACTCAATTCAGGCCCTCTGTTTTCCTTTCAACTTGGAAGTACACCCACCTTCTCCCCACTTAAAAGTCACTGCTTATAGTAAGATAAGAAAATGGTTTGGAAGCAGAGATTATGATTTACTTTATTATAGTGGACTTCCTCAAAGTTTTCTGTCCAAGCTCATCTTTTGAAATCTATGGCATACAGTGAAACAATTGAGCAAGGCATGGATAAACCTTGTGGCAGTGTACCCTATGTGGAAGCAAAACATCTAAAATGATCAGCTGTTGGAGTTCTGAATTTCCAAACTTGCAGATGACATATGAATCATAATAAGGGTAGCTTACGGCTGTTAGTGTGTCTGGGCCGGAAGCCCTGTCTTCACATTGTTTTATAAACTCTTAGCCTTTATTCCTTTTTCCTTGTTCATTTTCTGCCACCGCATGAAGTTGATTATCCAGATTTGGATAAATATATACTGTCAGTTTTTTTCATTTGTTATGTTTCCTCATGCCCACTCATTACATTATGAACAGATTAGCAGTTACGAGTGAAAAGCTATGACACTGAAGTAGGGAGGTATCTCAGCATTCAGCTGATTGCTAGGCAGCTGTACTTTTGAGAGCTTGAAAGCAAAATGGGGACACATTCATCTACATTTCAATCAGAGGACATTTGTGTTCTGAAGAAAAACAGATTTGGGGTGAAACTTAATATTTTTCGATGTGGTTCTGGGATTGTACACAGGCACTGGACTTGTAGATAAGTTGTGTATTTTTCTTCTCAGTTGGTAAATTAAAAGTCCTTGAGAATGTTTTTCTGCATCTTAAGCCCAGATTTTTCCTCTCTCTGTCCTTTAAAGTTTGCCGAAGAAACTAGACTGCATAAAAACGTCTATTTGCAACTGCCTTCTTCGTGGCTTAGGTATTAAAACTTCAAAGCATCATCTGAGACAGAGAAGATCACAGAATAAATTTTTACGGAGACAAAGGAAACCACAGAGAAAGCTGCAGTCGACTCTTTTAAGGAAAATTCAGCAATTCTCTCAAGGGACTCAGAATGTTGCTGCAGATACTGGTGCTAAGTGGAGACTCGCACACTGTACTGTGCATAGAACTCATCTCTACCCTAAGAGTAAGCAATTCTTGAGTAGTGGAGTTTCAATGACTGTCATGCAAACTAAGGAGAAAATGATTCATGAAAATCTTAGAGGCATCCATGAAAATGAAACTGATTCGTACACAGTGATGCAGAGAAATAAAAACAGTACATCAGGAACTATTAAGGAGACAGATGACATTGATGATATTTTTGCTTTAATGGGAGTTTAGATGTTCGTACATGAGACTTAATAAGTGATTACCAAGGCTAGTTCAGTATTCTGTTTTAAGTGGAACTGCTGAGATCTGGAAGTACCACCTGGACTCACAGAGGAGCTGCTTTAGTGCAGCATTGCAGAGGAATTCATTCCATTTTAGTTAGGTTTACATTTAAAGTAGCACCATGCCATTCATCAACAAGTACTTCTTTTTGGCTTCAACCACATGCCAGGTGTTAAGATGAAAAGTCTGCCACAGCCTGCCTTTGAGAACCAGATGTAATTCCTTGAGTGAGGCTAGTAAGTCTCTGAGACATTGAATAATTTGACTTACCAGTTTAATAACCATTTGCAAAAACCATTGTGCCTTGAGGTAGATGAGGAGTAGCAAGGAAACACCTGAAAGGTCATTTTGGCCTCATTAGCTCCATTGTAGGTAGGTCTGCCTCTTAATACTAAAGTTTGTAGCTCCTGACAATTGTGCTGTCTTGTTTATATATTGGAATTGATCATCAAGCTTTGCCGCTGCTTGTATTACCAGAGTCTGGTTACAACCGTTATTTCTGTTCATTTGTTCATCTTATATTAAAGTGAGTTTGGAGTTCTCCAAGAAGTTTTAATTTTTATTTGGGTGCCAGTGATTGATTGATTCCAAATAAACCTTTTTTACAAAAACGATATAAAGTGGTTCATGGTAACATATGAAATATAACAGGATAACAGGTAGTTGAGAAAGTAAAATGAGAAAATCACGTTAGGAGACACAAAATGGACCCAGGAATGAGGCTAGTACGTTTGTAATTTGGTGTTGATGCTGTCATCTGATAGGGGATGTTGCTTTATACTACTGCTCTGAGGGAGTACTTCTTAAGTATTTTCAAATAATGATGTGAAGTTTGAGGTAGGTATTTTTTGTGTTCTAACTTTTCTGGAATTAGGTTAATAAGCTTTTGTCATACCCTTAACTTTTGTTACATAGAGATTTAAAGAAAAAGCAGTACTGTAGTATGTACTGCATCCTTCTTTTCCATTCTTTATTTGGCTTTCTTCCTTCCCTGTCTGCCTTCTGCATTTTCCCAGTTATCTCTACCAGTGGTTCTCAAACATTAGACTTTTTGAGAATCACCTGTAAGCCCCTTCCCAGAGACTGATAAACGGGCCAGAAACCTGGATTTTTAACAAGGATCCCAAGTGATTTTGGTGCAAGTGGCCCCAAATCCAGTTATATCAACTCTGCTTTAGCTTCTCTCTTGAAGTCTTGTTAACTGGTTTCTTAATCTCTAGTCACTTTTCATACTCCTTTTTGCTGCCTACCAAATGACAGTAGCTATTTAGTGGCTTAAAATATGGACAATAATAAGATTTCATTCCAGACAAGTCTAGAAAGGCCATTAACTTCTAAGTGTCCTTGTGTTCAATATATTACCTTTACCTATTAAGAAATGGAAGGTTATTAGTAAGAGAACTGGCGTATAGCTTTGTGGACCATAGGGCTAACTTAAAAAAAAAAAAAAAAAAAAACTTTTGTGGAGATGGAGTTTCACCATGTTGCTTGGGCTGGTCTCAAACTCCTGGACTCAAGAGATCTATCCACTTTGATCTCCTAAAGTGCTGGGATTATCCACGCCCTAGTAAGTAGCAACTTTATCACTTCTAGACACAAGTCATTTATAAGAACAGTGTTTGAGACCTCTTGTGTGCGACTTCAAATCCTCTTGGCCTTCTTAACTAAAGTCACTGCTGTGGCAACCAGTTTCAAGTAGAGGCTGAATCTTGCCTTTTGCTCTGGGGACTTCTCACTTCCTGCCCCTGAGCCTCTGACCAGCTGCAGGAATTGCCTGGCACTTGGGTATGTGTACAACCCGGAAGAGGTGTGGGGCCACCCCATCCCCTCATCAAAGAAATTCAGAGGCACAGTGTGAAGCTAAAGTAACTCCATCTTGGATGCTAATCTACCATGTTGACTTCTGATAACTTGTTCCAGGAATGCCTCTAAGATTTCTACATTTATCTACTATTAAAATAATACACACTCACTGTAAATCCTGGCCTTAAGCAAATTATATGCTATGCTGCACACAGCATTCTTGCCTTTCCCTGAGGGTTGACTTCAGGGTCTCACGTGTTCCTTCTGAAGCATGTATGCCCTTTTCTCTATGGCATATAAGCCTTGGGTCTGCGGGTAACTGCGGGGATCCAGTGTCTCATCACTGCCTGAGACATAGCTTCTGTGCAGAAGTCCCTATTAAATGTTTCTGACAAACTGGATTTGTCAGCCTCTTTCTTTGGCATCTCAGTACCCCCAGCCTTTAAGGGTAGGCTGCATAGAACCTGCTCACTTTTTGTGTATGTAGAACACATATTTCCTAAGAGTTCTCAGATGTTCCCTCAAGATCTAGCACTAGTACCTATGTTTTGGCTAACTCAACGAATATGTCATTAATAGGCTTGTCTGTCTTGTTTCATTTTCCCACTGTTCCCTGGGATCATTTACCAAATTTATGTATGTACACTTTTGGCTCAGGCTCTGCTTATAGAACCAAGAATAAGACAAAGCAGTCGAGTAACACTGGCAGACAAATAGATGACTTGTAAGAAAATTCTTGTCACTATGTATTTTAATGAAAGCCTATATTAAAAAATCTTTTTGGCTGAAAACACTGCTGGTTATAATTAGACCAATTCCATAAACTATGAAACAACTGACAATATATTCAGATTGACTTTTCTGAAAAAAGCCACAAAGTTGGTTTATAGCTTTAATTTTTTTATCCAGCAATACAGCTATAATCTTTTACTATTCAGCTTCCCTTTGAAAAACTAAGCCACTTATATGAATAGGTCAGTGGCACCTGCACAAAAATCTTTTCTATTAACTTTATTTGAAAGGCTTTATCTTTCCATTCTGAACCTTAAATGTAGCAGTCTAAACTGTTCTGTCAGCTTTTTTCTCTTGCCCTTTGCAAATTAGTTTTCTCACCTAAAGCTATTTTCATTTTTCGATTTTTCACTAGTGAAAATGTTACTCCCTTATGAAAGGACATTTCATGTGATAAATCTACCTGTGAATTTTGCTATATTTCTTTGTTGGTTTGGCTTTACAAATGTGTAGCTGTCTTCTCATATGCTACCTTTTGTAAAGCCATTCATTTTAATCTTAATAGCTTTCAAGGATAGAGTAACAAATGAATTTCAGAGAAATCAAGTAAGTTGCCCAAGATCCAACATACATAATAAACATCAGAACTGGAACCTGATTTCTGTTCTTTTGGTTGTTTCCAACATGGACTAACACATTATCAAGAATGTTTTCAATATTCAAATAGGGACTCACATAGGCTTACATATAGGAACATTTATTCATCAACTTATCTATTGATGCCTAACAGAAAAGCAGCCTCCTTTTACTTAGCCTATTTTAATGTTTTTTTAAAAAATACACATGGTAGACATTTTCTTTAAAAGACAAAAGCCCAATGAAACAACAAACCCTTCTATACATAGTTATAATAGGTTTTCATTTTATGGACTTCTATATGCTCTTGTCAGTTTGTTAAAATAGGGCATCTGTTCTAATGGACACCATAATTCAATTACTTGTAAACCTTTTCTTCCCCGAGCCACTAATTCTTGTTTTGACTTCTCAAAGTTGCAGGTTTTAAAAGCTGAAATGATCTTCCTGGGAGTTACAGATGCACAACATTTAAAATAATGTTGAAATTCTTCTAGGTATTTAACTCCAGTTAGCAGAAAGCTTTTTTCTTTCTTTTTTTTTTTTTTGGAATCTTCAGCTAAACTGGGAGCCATTAATTAGTCAAGTCAAGATTTCCTGTTACATTTGCTATAAAGCATCTCAGTAGATGGATTCCAGAAAAGGTCACAGCACTGTGAAAAGAAAAAATAATTTTCTTCCTTTCCTCAGAGATTCGTCAACTTAAAAAATTATAAATTCTTGTGATTCCATGCATGAAAGCAGAACATCTTTTAATCTGTTCTAGCTTTCTTCTCTTTCCCCAGCCGCTTCGTGTAGTATTCTAAGATCTGATGATCAATGTTATCCCATCCATTTCCTTCACGATTCCAAAAATTTCAGTATACCTTCCATCTTGCTTTGTTTTCCAGAATTAGTCTTGTATTTTTTTTTTTTTTTTTTTTTTTTTTAATTCTGCCTGGGTTTTTTGTTTGTTTGTTTGTTTTTAATATTCTAGTTTGTTCTTTTTGTAACAAAAATTTAATTACCTTGTTAGACTTTTCAGGTTTTAAAAAATTTACTATTATTTTATATATTATTTTTATATGATTGTATATATTATTTATCTACCTGTCTTCCTATATCCATCAGTATGGAGATCAGCCAAAATGTTTCTCAGGTATGGATACACTACAGTTTTTTGTTTTTTTTGTTGTTGTTATTGTTTTTCTTTTTGAGATGGAGTCTTGCTCTGTCACCCAGGCTGGAGTGCAGTGGTGCGATCTTGGCTCACTGCAACCTCTGCCTTCCAGCCTCAAGTGATTCTCCTGCCTCAGCCTCCCGAACAGCTGAGATTACAGGCGTCTGCCACCACACCTGGCATTTTTTTTTATTTTTTAATTTTTCTAGAGACAGGGTTTCACCATGTTGACCAGGCTGGTGTCGGACTCCTGACCTCAGGTGATCTGCCTGCCTCGGTCTCCCAAAAGTGCTGGGATTACAGGCATGAGCCACTGTGGCTGGCCTTCAAATGCCTTTAGTTTTAAGTGACACCTTAATTTAAGAAACACTCATATAATATTACAGGTTTTCAGTACATAAAGTTATAAAAACAATTCAGCCAACAAGTGGATAAAGAAAATGTGGTATAATGTTTCATGGACTACTACTCAGCCATAAAATGGAACAAAATAATGGCATTTGAAGCAACCTGGATGGAGGTGAAGACCATTATTCTAAGTGAAGGAACTCAGGAATGAAAAACCCAATACTGTATGTTCTCATAAGTGGGAGCTAAGCTATGACGACACAAAGGTATAAGAGTGATAAAATGGACTTTGGAGACCCAAGAGAAAGGTGGGAGAGGTAAGCAATAAAAGACTTCACATAGGGTACAGTGTACACTGCTCAGGTGATGGGTGCACTAAAATCTCAGAAATAACCACTGAAGTATGTTTCCATGCAACCAAAAACCACCTGTTCCCCAAAAACTATTGAAATAAAACAAAAATTTAAAAACCGACGACATTCTCATTTATATTACTTCATTAAAAACAGAAAACAAAACAATTCAATTCTTACCTTACAGCAAACAACTGAGGAAAACATCCTTGAGTTTTCGTGTTAACAAATTTCTGGATCTCAAGCACTTGTTTTAAAAGATGTCCTTTGGAAGATTTGTCAATTTTTGTTAATACAATCTATAAGAAAACAAATTTTTAAGCATTAGCAAAGTGGTTGTTCATAATTTTACGCATTTTAGCTACAATATTTCATTTATAACTAGGTTACCCGTGTAAATTTCTTATCTCTTTATACCTATTTCCTCATCTAAAAAATAACAAAAATCCATAAAGGAGGAACTGTGAAGATTAAATGAGCAAATGTCTGAAACACTTTAAGTATACAGTATGTGTCTGCTGCTTACAGTGCTTTAATCACACAGGGCCATAATATCTTGGAAAGATCAATGAGAAGGGTCATATTTGCAATTGTGATACATGTTTAGATGATCACAATATACCTGACAGATTAGGATATATAAATGAATATTGGCTTTATCTATATAAAATTGCCCATTTGTAATCAGTTTTTGACCTATACTCTAAAGAAAAAATCAAAAATCAGGTATTTGTAGGTTGTAGCTACTAGTTATATTCCAAGTCAGTCCAGAATTTTACTTGTCCAAAGACAAGTACATAGTGCAGAAAGGTCAAAGTATGGATGATTACAAAAATCAATTAAATATAAAACCTTAATCCACCAGGTATTCCTAGTGAGATTCTGTAAGATTAAATTTCCTGGCAAATCATTTATGCTTTTTAGTCATAAAAGATGCTAATGGCAGGAGTGTGTCGTGTCATGATATATATACTGTATTGGTTTATGTCCATGGTTACTTTCTCATAACTCCCATAGCCCTTGTTACAATCTTTTGTTATAATGTTGGATGTGTTAGGCATCGGGAAACAAAATCTTTCTGACCTCCTGCCTTCCATTCTCCTGCCTTCCATTCTCCTGCCCTATGACAAGACTTGTAATCTTCCCTCACCTTTCTGATTGTGGGTCATATGACCCTCATTCCAGAGAGGGTCCCACTCCATACCCGGGGGAAGGAATGCTGATGTCATGAATCTTCCATTAAAGCCCAGGAAGACTTGGTTTGGAGAGCTTTCAAATAGCTGAACACAGGGAGGTTTCTAGAGAGTGGCATGCCCAAGGAGGACACACAGGTTCTGTGCATCTTCATTGTATCCTTTGCAACATACTTTATAATACCATCAGTAAACATGTTTCTCTGAGTTCTGTGACCTACTCCAGCAATTAAACCCAAAAAGGGGATAGTGGGAACCCTGACTTGAAGCCAGTTTTGATATTCTAGAGGCCCAAAATTGTGACTAGTGTCTGAAACTGGGTGAGAGGGGCAGTCTTGGGGACTGAATCCTCAATAGAATCCTTAATACGTAGGATCTGATGCTATCTCCAGGTAGATAGTATGAGAATCAAATTTTCAGACACCCAGCTGGTGTCCTCTGCTTGTTGGTGGGGAAAACCCCCGACACATTGGGCCACAGAAGTCTTCTGTGTTAACTGTTGTGGTATGAGAGCAGACGAAAAACATAGTTCCAGTGTTTTTCCCATAATAAGAAGCAGAAAGGGTGTGGTTTCTAATTACCTGTGAATCCCTCCACAAATGGGAGTCTTTCCTCATAAAGACAAATGTACTGATATTTAAAAGGAGATACAGATAAAGTTTCTCTATTCTAGTTCCTTTTCCAACAAAGAAAGTAGTATTTCCTTAAAGTTAAAATTGAGGAAAATACATGATTTCATAAATTGGTATCTGTGATACCAAATAAGGAATACTATTACTTAGTTTGGCAATATTTAGGCATTTTTACTAAGTAGACTATCAATCCTTTGACTCCTCATAACTATAAATTATCTCTGATGCTTCATAGGACTTTTGCAAACCCCAAGAATTCCATGACCCCAAGAATAAAAGTGGTTAACTAGTAGTAACATGATGTGATTTGTATTAAACTCCACTGTTACATATTAGTGGCTTTCTGACATCATTTTGAACCGAAATTATAGTTACTGGGCTCTTCACTTTTCTTTGGAAAGAAACTTTAAGAGTGCTATTTCATCTGGAAGTCTCACAAAGCAAAATTAATGTGGATACCAACCTACAATTCTCTATTCTATTCTAGGTCAAAAGACAAACAGTACTGCTAAGAAATTCCCAGAAGAAATTTTGTTTGATTTAAAAATATAAAAATCCTACTTGTGTGTATTGGAGGCTGCTATATTCTTGGAACAATTTTAAAATTTTAAATTAAGCAACTTTTTAAGTTGCAGTTTTATTCACATTCTTATAAGTACTATCTGCTAAGCTGCTATTAAAGAGCTACTGACTTGTTCTGAACAAATATTTATGTTGCTATAAAAAGAAAAACATATGAAAACTACATAGGAACATTAAATGAACAGGTTAAAGCAACCTTTACTTTGACTATAATTTTCAAAACATAGAGCTGAGAGATGGAAAAGAATAAAAGTGCCACAGAACTTACTTTAATTAATATTAATGGATGATTAACTGAAAAGATTATTCAAAAGGCACCCTCCTTTATCTTTTGAGGAGGCAATACAAGCTCAATTGTTAAAAGGTACATGTATGCACAGCTGCACATAGAACTGATATCTAAATTGCAACCATGATTCAAAGGAAGTACTTACCACATAAGGTAATGCAAATTCTTCACACATTTCAATGGCAATATTGTCTGTTTTTTGAATTCCAACAACACTATCCACTAATAAAAATGTTCTCCTCAAGCTATAATAATGTAGAAATGAAAATTAATGGCAATATAAAATATACCCATTTATTTATCCCCTCTTCCTTACTATACTAAGAAATTTTCATTTGAATAATTCTCAATCCAAAATTAAAAAAATTTCTTGAGGCAAAAGGAATTCTCAATTTGCCAGAAGTTTATCCTGCAGTCCAGTTGGTCTCAATTCTATTTACTTTCAATAACTAAATTCACTAAATATTAATTTAATTCAATAAGGATATATTGGACATAAGACATTCTGCCTGGGGCTTGATATATTATGAGAGCGTTCCCACCTCTAAAAACCTTAAACTTGAGGAGAAGTAAGAGACACAAATCAAATTAACCATAAATTACAGATTATGAATTATAAAAATCAAATTAACCATAAGTTATAGAAACTTTTTTTTTAAGACAGAGTCTCATTCTATCACCTAGGCTGGAATGCAATGGCATGATCTTGGCTCAGTAACCTCTGCCTCCAGGGTTCAAGTGATTCTTCTGCCTCAGTATCCCAAGCAGCTAGGATTAAAGGCATGCACCACCATGCCTGGCTAATTTTTTTGTTATTTTTTATTTTTAGTAGATGCAGTGTTTTGCCATGTTGCCAGGCTGGTCTCGAACTTCTGACCTAAAGTAATCTACTCGCCTCGACCTCCCACAGTGATGGGATTACAGGCATGAGCCGCCGTGCCTGGCCTGTATAGAAATTTTTTAATATTACTGTAAGACTAACAGATAATAGAAGCCAGACACATTATATTTTGCATTTTCTTATGTAAATATTTGATTTTACCCTCTATGTAAAGCTACAACAAAGATACTTATAAACTTTTTTTTTACATTTTAAAAGATTAACATCAATTTTCTATATATTGTGCAATTATTGAAACAACTATCACTTGACTACATAAGGAGACAAAAAAGAGGTAACATTTGCAGCAGCTGTGATGTCTGAAGTATTTTAAAAATGATCAGAATTTGCTGGTTTTAACCAATAATTTTCATTTTCAAAATTAGCCAACTAAGAGTTTGGTTTTAAAAAAAGCTAACGGGCTGGGGTGCAGCAGCTCACGCCTGTAATCCCACACTTTGGGAGGCTGAGGTGGCAGATCACCTGAGGTCAGGAGTTCAAGACCAGCCTGGCCGACATGGTGAAACCCTGTCTCTACTAAAAATACAAAAATGAGCCCGGCACAATGGCGCAGCTACTTGGGAGGCTGAGGCAGGAGAATCACTTGAACCTGGGAGACGGAGGTTGCAGTGACCCGCGATCGTGTCACTGCACTCTGGCCTGGGTGTCTGGTCTCAAAAAAAAAAAAAAAAACTATGCTGAATTACTCTTTAGTTTCAATCTCAATTTGAGAAAACACTAAAATTTAATATTAAGGGTAAGCTAAACTACAGACAGAGAATAAGCAAGCAGTACATACCTTGGTCCTAAATACTATATAATATTATGAGAATAAAATGGGCCTTATAAAATAAGTCATTTGATAAAATTGAAGTGTTGACCATGTGTATATTACTCTACTGATGAAAACATGCCTTGGAGTTAAATGTATACCTATTATTATAAGAAAATCTTTTCCTTACTTGCTTCGTTCTTTTAGGTAGGTCTCTACCATGTCGGCAAAATCTTCAGGTGCTCTATAGCCATACCCTGGCATGTCCACCACCGTAAAATATTTTCCAACTTTGAAAAAATTCATTTTCTTTGTGTGTCCCTGATTAAGTAAATGGAAAAAGAAAAGCTGTCTTAAAATATGTCTTCCATCTACTTAATGATTCCAAATCTTTTCCACTCAATCAATAAATATTATTAAAAGCCAAGTATATAACCTTAACATATGCTGATGATGACAAGACAGAAGGGAAATGGCTGGAGATAAGTTTAGAACATACTCCTTTTTCCTTCATTTTACAAAAAGAATCTGTATGACTTAAGAACTTTAGATTCCATATTAGAAACATGTAGGCAAAATATTTTGGAGTCTTTTCTATTTCATTAACCCTTAGTGAAAAATTCACCCTGTTCTAAATTGTGACTGCATCAATCAATATTCTCTGATGAACAATGTATCTCCACTTTAAAGAGAAACTAATTATGGCAAGGATAAGTTAAAATGCTTATCATTAGACATACATGTTTTCATAAAACCTAGATCCAAAGTCTGATCATTTCTTATACCTAGACTATTGCTTCCCTAAAATCAAGATATTTTGCATGTTTTATTAGGTGGATTTTAGTGCTTTCATTAAACAATTTTTATTGCATGCATAACATCATAATATTTGTGCAACTAAAATTGATGTAAAGATGGTGAAAAGTGGTTTATTTGTAGTTTTGTGTCCATAGGACATTTATTAATCAGAAAAGATTATATAGGCAATTTTAAAAGTTAAGTCAATTGTTTGGATCTTATAAAGATCTTTCCTTATCAAAGGAAAGATTTTTATAAATGGTGATTTTAAGTTCCTAGTTTATTTGTCTATAGGAAAATGATTTTAGAATTACAGATTGGGAATGTCAAGAATACATTTCCTCCATTGTTCTCTCACAAAAGGAAGGAGATCACTCTACCTAGAAGTGATAATTTAGCTGATTTATTTGGTGAGGCAGGGCAGGAGTAAGGATGGGAGGGTTAAGGAATGGAAAGAATCATTAGCAATGGAGCCAGAGAATCATTATATGAAGTGGGGAGCAAGAAAAGACCCAGTGAAGTCTCATGGAAGGGTTCCAACTCAAAGAAAAGTGTGCGTGTATGTGTGTGCACGCACACGTACTTACGTACTTGCATGCATGCACTTGCACGCATGCGCGCAGGTATGGTGAACATTAGGGTTGGTGGAAAGGTTTACCATGGCCAGATAAGGTGAGAGAAAGTGGGCGTGATTTTGAAGAAAGGGTATCTTAGATATTGGTAGAGACCATGTTGTTGAGAAGAAAGTAGAGGAAAATGACAGCTATTACAGCAGACTGGCTAAGATAATAAGGACATAAGAATATGCCCGATGTGTGTGTGTAACTAATTCATGTACTTTATACCTTAGAGAAGATGATAGGAGGAAAAAAGCAAAAAAACCTAAAAGCTGTTTCCCCTAAAATCAATGTAGAACTAGATGATCACTCTCACAGAAGGAAATATAGAATGACAATAAGACACTTTATTTGGCAACTCTTTGCAAAATTTGGATAAAGAAATATTTCCTGAAGATACTGTCAAGACTACTCAAATAAATCCAGCTACACTTCCTTTTCTTCAGAGAACTATGAAGGCATTAGAATATCTTACTTTATTACTTTTTTGAAAGAAATAACTTCTCTAGGAACTTAGCAGTTATGATTTCTTATACTTTCAAACATTTATTATTCATGCCAGTTAATCCAAGAGATAGTCCAAACATATTTAAAAATTTCAACATACTGGTGTTTTGGAGATTCTGACTTCAACCTCAGGGGCCAGTGAAAATAAAGCCTTGATTAGGGAGGATTTTCCAACATTGCTTCTGCCTATAAAACACACCTACACAAGAAAAAAGAAAATAAGTACTAGCCGTATATGATATTCTGCATTAGCTGCAAAAAACCTCAAATTCTAACATAGCTAATATTTATTGAATGAATTCAATGTGCCAGGTACTATTTTAAGCATTCGGCATATATTTTCTTATTTATTTTTTTACAGCATCCTAGGAGGTAGGTGATATTATCCCCATTTTACGGACGAGAGTACAAAAACTAACCCAAAATTATACAGACAGTAAATCAATTGGGACTTGAACTCAGGACATGTATATCTAGAATCTGTGCTTTTAGTTTCACTACGCTACTCAATAATACATGCAACTTTTATTGAACATTTCATATTTACAAAGCTTTTTGGAGTAAAAACTAGATGTAGTTCAACAAAACTGATGAAAAGTACTACTACATGTTTGGAAGCACATTTTCTCAAGGACTCCCGTGGTATACTGTTAACACCACTGCAATTTAAAAAGTTACTCTTTTCCCTTGACCACTCTTGTTCCAATTAAGCTTTTCTCCTCTGCTTTTGAACATGGTATTGGAGGTGAGGGGTACAATACCAATCAATTGTTCTAAATGAGGACAGTACCGGCCCTTGGGGGACATTTTTGGAGATTTTAAGGGAATTTTTGGTTATCAAGACAATTGGGGGACATTTAGTAGCCAGAGGCCAGGGATCCTATCCTGCAAAATTCTGGTCAGTCCTTCAAAATTAATTGATCTGAGTCTTGCAAAAATTTTAAATGCTCTGCCAGAGCAAACCTCATGCTAATATGTTGATAAAACTGAATTTTAAAAACAAATTGCAAAAAACTCCAGTAATTTAGAAGCTTAAATAAAAAAGCAATGGCTCTCTCAAAATCATTAAATAATTTAGGTACTCTGAATCCTGACTATAGTTCTACATATATTTAGAAGAAAAATCTCTGGGCAACGGTGCAGTTACTGTAAATACATATGGAGAGTTCAGCTGCCTTTTAGCAGACTTAGAA